CTCGGGCGAGCGCCTAGCGCCTCGGGCGTTTTTGGACCTTGGCGCCTTTTGGCGCCTAGCGCTTTTTAAATCACTGATTGGAACTAATGTTTCAATATGAGTGTGACCCTGATGGTAATCGGATTTGATTCCAAAACTTCCAGTTTCACCAAACCAGCAGTCAAAGCCAATTTGTGTTTGTAAGCAAAAAATAACCCAGAAGACCAAATTTATCAAGTGTGCTAAGTCATTTTGCTTCATCATTTCTAAATTTCTTCAGATCCTGGAATGTATTTCTGAAGAACAAAATGGTACCTACAAGTTCTCAGAAGAATTAAAGTAATGTTATTCCTCAATTTGGGGAAATCAAAAGATATTACTTAGAGAGAATGAATCCATTACTTGACAAAGTTATACTTCAATAAATCATTCAAGATTTACACTGTAGTACCAAAACAATCAGATGTGCTTAACCTAAGTGTCGCTCAGATGGTATGATTTCAAGCTAATATGCAGTTTTTCTATTAGAATAGTATTATTTTCTTTCCATAAATCATCCTTCTCATCAATCATGTTGAACCTCAGAAACCAAATCAATTGATAAGCTGAAAAATAACCTAATATATCAGATGATGACTCCACATAAAATTGTTTATTTCAGTGGGTTAGGGAGAGGAACAGAAATGGAAAATGAAGATGCAAGCTGAAAAGACAAATCATAATATAGAATTATTAATTTCCTGAAGTTTCACAAAGCAATTAGGAAAGAGAACATGGAAAAGTTCAACTCATCGAATCCTTGTATATTTTGGATTTTGGAAGAAAATGTCAAATGAGGCCAACAAGATTCAGCATACAGAACTTTCAGAGAAAAAAAATTCAAATGAAATAATAAATTAAAGTAACATCTGGTCACTACCCATTTTCTTCATTCTTACTGGTATCTAATCAACCTTGAATTTTCCTATCTTCTCTATTTCTAAACTAATGGTTTTCCAGCAAATTCTTGTTTATTGCCAAGTACATAAGGAATCAACTTAAAAAATCTCTACCATTTTCCATTATATCATCATAGTAACATCGAGCATCTAAAGTAAAACAGTTATACCAGTAAATTTTTAGGTGGCATTCAAATTATGGATCCTGGATAAAAATGTAACATTCTTTCGCGCAGCTCAAAAAGCTATACTCATTTCACGAGTAAAACTGCATCTACATGAGAACAATGCCCATACACACATAATTTATGACAAAGCATATTTCTGCTACAATCCTGCAACTAATTATTCCTTACTAAGAAAAGAAGACCATTGTTCATATTCGTTCAATAGATGATTATCACCAGAACCACATTTTGATTTCCCTGGAAGAAAAAATGGACCATATAAGACTTCTAGATTCGGTTCAAATATTTACATGTTACTTGTTCATGAAACAGATAACACACCAACTAAAATGTTAAATTTATATACATAAAATAAACACACCACACCTTTGCTGATAATGATAATGCTGAGATTTCTAAATCGTGCATCAGTTGTCAATTTCTTAATCTCAGGAATAACAAAAGAGGCTTCAGTTTGATCCTTCTTTCCAAACTCGATGAAATTAGCTAGGACACAAGGGCGACTGAGTCGGTACACTGCAGAATGCTGTTCATCACAACATCAGGAATACTTCAGCATTTTACACAAAGAAACATAGACTTTCAGCAGAATAGGATATTACTATACCTCTGCAATTGCAGTGTCAGCAACAGGTATAGCTAACAGCACGTAGAAAGGAAACATATGATGTTCTATTTCAGTGTTCAGACTTCCAACCAGTGAAATGGTTATTTGAATTCTACAAGCAGGAAAATTTGTGATGTAGTAGGTGTTAAATAAAAATGAATTATACTTCAAATAAACCTACAGTAACTGACATTCTAGTACAACCTAGATACTCAAAAGTGATATTTCGAAATCCTGAAATTTATGGGACATCAGTAGCCAAAGAAGCTCAAAATGTGATTAATTAGGAAAGCCCATGGTTTAAACGACAGCAATAAGCAAACAAGAAACAGAAACTTTCATGTCCATTCTACCCAACCTATAATCTACAATGGTGGGGTTTGTAAATGCAGCCAAAGCTACATACCAAGGTTGGAATTCTCAACTGTTATCATCAAGAAATTGATGAAGATTAAAGAGTAAATGGGTTTTCTTTTTTTTTTTCAGGGAAACAATCTAAAAAAAGGGGCAAGAAGAAGTTTTACGCAACCTATATAATACTACTACTTTGTGGAAGGTACAGAACACATAACAACTATTTAACATCAAACCAAGTACTATGAAAAAATATTTTTACACCTAAAAGGGAAATTACTATATCACAGAATAAGGACCTCCTTTTGCGCTTTGCCTGTATCTTGTACTGCAAACATCTCTGAAGAAATGAAGGCTGCAATATCATGAAATGAGTTGTTAGCACCCTAGAATCCGACTCTTCCAAGGGCAGGATCAAAATAATGCTTTGAACTGCACATCTCAACATAAAGAGCCAAACCAAAAATCACACTTTGATAAGAAGGGACCAATATCCTAGCATGAGAACTTACATTTCGTATTGCCCTACGCTGAAGTATATTATAAAGCTCAACAGGTTTACAGTATACAGAAAGACTTTCTTCAGCTGCAAGTTGCTCCTCAGGTGTCAATCGAACTCGAGACTGCTGACGGCACATCTGATCAGTCCGTGATTGGCTGCAACTGCAACCTTGATTCCTATAGCAAAAGTTATCAACATGGCAAGATGGTTCATGATTGGATCAGTTAACATCTTTGGAGAGAAAATAAGACAAATTGAAAACTGATAATCCCTATATAAGTTAGACTTACATGGTCTCACGAACTGCCAAAGGTAAGCCTGGCATTCTAGAATAGGCGCACAAAACTGTAGGTTTTCACAGACTTCCACAATCTCACAGGATATGCAGAGTGATGATACACAGCAGACAACATTCACCTGCTTCTTTATAGATACAGGCTATCCTGGAATTTACTGTATTTTTTAAAATAACTTAGAGAAATTTTGAAGCATAAATTCCATTCTGAAATGGACAAGTGGAAGAAAGAAATTGTAACCAGAGCCATGGAAGCAGATTATGTGACAATGAACAACAATCAATAGTACTTATTAGAAGAATAGATACAGCTGAAAAAAAAAACATCTAGTAGCTGTAACAAAATTTATACAGCATTATTTATGACAAAAAAAATCATGCTTTTTGACTTTGTCAATACCAACATATCTTCCATCAGGAAATAAGTAATTTCAACAATTAGCACTGATATTACATAACAATTCTTTATTTGCATCACATAACTATAATTCACTTGAAAAAAATATGTTACATATTTTAGACAAAGTATAAATAATACAGGAAAAGATATATTAATAGAAAGTATTAAAAAAAATTTCCTCATGTACAGCACATAAGATCCACAAAGAGTGCTCACCATGTCTGCACTCCAAATACAAATTGACATCTCTGACCTTTTAGTCAAATCCAACTTGAGTTATTTGTCACATAGTGATGTTGACCTAACTAAATTATCAATTCTGACCAAAATTTCAACCTCTCCGTTACCTATTGAGGCAAGAATGCATCAAGCAATTTGAGATTGGCCAAACTTAATATGTTTTGGAAACAAATGTTGAGATTCATTTGAAACAATGTCAATAGAAATTTAGGTAAACTAGGACAATGATGACAATTTTGGAACATGACCATGAAAGGCAAGCACAAAAACAACAAAAGATTTGGTCAGCTTTATATCATCTTATGATCAAGCTATGAAGCTGTAGAGGCTGAAAATATACATATGGTTAGCCTGAATCATGTAACCTTATAATTTGGGCAATTATTTGCCCTCTCTCTTCTATACGTAATAAGCAAAGCTTAGTATCTGTGTTTCATTAAGTGCCTGAAAGAAGTAAACACAAGAAGATGCCCAGACAGAGACGAGAGATAACAAAGAAAAAAATGAAAAAAGATAAAATAAGACCATCTTGCAAGCAAACTTCAGTCAAGTTTCTCTAATCAATAGAATCTATAAACTGCCACAAAGACATAAGAAAGAGTATTCCCCAGGCAAAAATGTAAAATTAGACCAAGCCTACCAAACTGGAAGGTAGTCAGACTTAGTACTTATCCATTTACCAAAAAGAATTACTATGCCTGTCCAAATTAATAATTGTCCATTTACAAAAAAGAAATATTATGGTGCAATGGTTTCAGCTGATCTTGAATACCAAAACAGAAGAATTGTTTTCCTTATTAGTCTCATAAGAAAAGAGTCTGCTTTCTTCCTTCTTTTCCTGATATGTAGTCTTATATATATCCTTTTCCAACTTCTTTACTCCCACCCATACGATATTAAATATCCCTTATCACTTCTCAGAATATCTAAATTATTGCAGTTAAAATGAACATCCAGAAGTTCTTCACGAGATAATTCTAAGCCATGGCTCTCCATCACACACTATTCTGCCTTAGGTTACATTTCACTTCATCTAAATTGATAGTATAAGGTATCTTGCTCTGTGACTATGGGCATCAAAAACTATTCATACATGTGACAGACTAACAGATGTAAATAAGATTGATAGTGGTATCAAGCATTACAGCCACTATACATGATGTGCACCATGATCAAAGCCGTGTTCACTCATTAAAACACATATCTGATACATAAGGACTTTCCACCATACTTCAAAGCAGTATGTCAATATTCATTTAGAGGTATATGAGTGTTTACTCATCCCCATCTCCATATTGGAGGGAGCCTCATGCATTGAGTCATCCTTTTATGTGTGTTTACCAACTTCTTAAACCTCCATTATTCCCTTCCCATGTCAAAGTTTCTTCAGCTCACTTCAGTATCTCCCAATCAAATTCCTCATCATTTCTTTCTTTAAGAGAATTAAGCGCTCAAGGTGCTGCATTTACACCCGCTTTGAATAGCATGATTTATATATGCATCAATGCCATATATAGGTAAAAAGTTTTAATCTTACCACAGCATAGTGTATATCTTGTCACATAATTTGTCCATGTGAAACCATCCAAGCTTGGGAAGATTTTCATATCCTGTTAGAGGGTATAAATTAAGACCAAAGAAACTCGTTTAATCATGGTATAACATGACGAAAAAAGGGTTGAGAGGTAGACGGATCCCTATCGCATTTCATCCTTCCATTCGAATTGCATCCGAGCTCTCTCTTCCCTTCCTCAAACTCATGGACAACTACTTCTACCTATACATTACATTATAAGCTCTACTCCCGCTTTAACTTCTTATAGTTACATTTAGCAACTCTCCCCCATATGCATTGTCTCACTTCAGAGTGAATTACCTTTTTCACTGTACTTCAGAACTAGGTGTGCAAAATAAGAAATTTTCTTCTGATTTTAGGAGCCACTACCTTCTTGTCACCATATTTCTTTTCCATCTAATGTTTTCAACCTACAAGTTCCTCTTTCACTCTCTCTGTTGAAAATGTTACAAAATTTGTACAAACCCAACTTCACATCTAGCACACCTAGGTTAGGTTCCAAGTTTCAGTTGATTCTCATCAAAAAGCTATGCAGTTGCACGTCTCACAACCCATAGCTTATTAATTAATAGAAAGGTCTCACTCAACAATGGAGCTACCAACATAATTCCTTTGAGTCAACTACTGATATGATATGACCCTCCTATCAGGGTCCCATACAAACCAATAGACAAAATAGGAATCCCAACAGAAGTAGAAACAGAGATTGCTAGGTAAACTAAACTAACTTATTGCATAAAGGAGCCAATAAAATTCAAGCATATACATATATACACTTGCTGATGTGCTTTGGAAATAAAGAACACCAAACTAAAGAGTGGTATTAACAGATGGTGGGTACAAAAGAAAAGACTCAAGAAAGAAAGCCAAAAAGAAGATGTAGAGCCAGCAATTTCTAACGAAATATCTCACTCTCATTCCCTTCAAATGGGTCAAACAACAGGCGCACCGAACTTAAAAACTTGTAGGCATTATTTGCAAAAGAATAACCGCGGTCAGGACAATTCGTGATGACACATGGCGTACTGAGGTGCATATATTGTACATGATTTAACTAAAAATTATTAGAACATATTTCTAGTGAGGAGCAAAAGTTTTATCTAGATTAAAAGTGAAGAAACAGAAAAAAAAGATTTCATGAGATATTAAGGACCAGCTGCACGATATGTGATGGCGTAACAAAGAGCAAAAATTCTCGCTCATAACCCCGTCAACAACTAAGAGCATCTAAACCACAGGAATAACAGCAACAAGGCCTTGCACCACAATAAAATAATTACCGCAAATGACAACGCTCACAAGGAACAGAAACAACGGAAATACAAAATCCAGCTCGAAACCACCGCCAGATAATCAAAAGTCGGGGTTTCCACGCAATTTACGAGCACCGACACAGAACAAGGGAAGTGAGACGGAGAGTGAAAGAGGAGGAGAAGGAGAAAGAGATAAATACCGTCCGACCGTCGCCTGGTGGCCTTCGAGAGATAAATACCGTCGGACCAGCGCCCGCCGGCCTTCGAGATGCCGCCACCCGCACCCCTTCCGGCGGGTGAACGAGGCGATCCAGGGGGGCGAAATTGGGGGAAAGGGAGTGAGAGTGATGATTTAGGAATTAGGGCGGTGGTGGCGGACGAGTTCTTGGAATAACGATGTATGTTTACGGATTTGTTATTTTGGTGTACTTACGTATATATCCTAAGCAAGTTTTTAAAATAACGATTTTGCCCCTCTGTATTTTTTTCCAATTAATAAATGATATATTATTACAAAATCCTCGTTCATGCTCCTAGCAACAGTAGTTATGTAACTCGTTCGACTACAGAGTCTTCCGAGTACAAGTGAGTCGGGTATAACATGTCAATCAAAGAAAGTGAGAATATTAAGTTTGAACCGGTCCTCTTTAGGCTTGTACTATTTAGAAGGTGTTTGTAAGTTGATATCGTGGAGTAGAAGTCGGTACAATTTGATCCTGTCTCGAAAGTATAAGATCATCCAGGTAACATCTCAGGAGTAAGATAGAATGGTGAGAGCGAGACAAAGGTTGGAGAAGATGATTCTGAGATTATCGTAAAACCCTCTGTCCCGAGGTGGAGCCAAAGTAGATTTGATCTTCATCAAAATCCTACACAATATGTTGATGTCGAGGGGATTCTCAACTTGACCCATTCGATGCTTAAGTTAATAGATGAATGATGGATCCTCTTTTCTTAGGATTGAGGATTAACCTTTATACTTGTGGAGTCGACAGGAGAGGGTTACAACTGGTGTGGGCTGATCGTACCTTTTTGCGACGCAATCGTGTGGGTGATTGACCTATACACTCTTTACGATGTGAGTCAAGGTTCCTATTGCACGACGTCGATTCGTATAGTTTTGAAGCTAGCAAGGGACGATCGAGAAAGTATTACCCGTCATCTCAGTCCTTTTTTACTTAGATAGATGTCGATCTACCTTCTAGATGACTGTCAATTGAGAAATTGTGACTAGTGTTAAAATATTCTCTATCAAAAGAATATAACTTTTTTTTTTGGTTCTCCGTTCAGGTTTAATTACTGATGTAACAACATTTCAAGCTTTCTCAATCAATCATAAAAGTAGGGTAAGGGGGGGATAAATTCACCTACTTCTTTTAAGCCAACCATCCAAATTTGGCTCATGTATCATAGAGAATTTAATATGCAGTTTCCCCTATAACCCTTCATATACTTTGAAAGAAACAAATATTGAGTGGTCTCGCTCATGATATAAGTGGTGAGATTAAAAAAAAATTTAATCAAAAAATTCTAACCCTAATGTTATACGAGTGAGATGAGAAAAATCTAAAAGGGTGGCCAAGAAAAAAAAAAGACTATTTATTTGGTGTTAAATGGTTGTGGGTGAAGGAAAATAAATTCATTTGGTGTTAATTAAAAATGTTATTTATTTGATGTTAAATAAAATTTTATTTATCTGGTGTTAAATGGTCAAGAGATCAAAGTTTAATATTTCTTATAATCATTTAAGAGAATTTGACCGTAAGACACGTATTCATATTTCAAAATATACGAGATAAATCTAAACAATATGTCTTCTTAAGTTATTCACATGAAATTTTTTTTTACAAGTTATGGGATTATGAAAGTAATAATAAAATCATCAGAAGCAAATATCATATTATTAAAGATCCTAAGAAAATTCAAAAGTCACAAACATTTAATAAACATCCTATAGATATGAGTTTAATGGCTCCAACAATAGTTAGTGATGATAATGAAAAGGAATAGGAAGATTATAATGATATACCATCGAATAATAATACTGATTAACATGTTAAGTAAAGTTTTCCATAACCACAAATTGAGAAGATCCATTAAAGAGCATCTACCTTCTAAAATGTATTCTTCTCATGAACATATGTTTTTTATTAAGGAGAGAGAACTAGAAAGTTATAAAGATATTATATTATTTAAAAAATTATATAATTGAGTATAATGTAAGAAGAGATAAAATCCTTTCATAAGAATTATATATTTAGCTTAGTAAAATTATATAATAAAAAATATTAAAAATAAAATAAAAATTTAGATTAAAAAATAAAAAATAGTTCACAGTCTAGATAAAAAAGTAAGATGGGTTATGAAAAGATTTGATCAAAAGAAAGATATTAATTTTTAAAAAAATTTCTCACTCATGGTCAAAATATCTTGAGTTGTTTTTTATTTTGCTACTAGTTTAAATTTAGAGATCGAATAACTTGATATCATAACTACTTTTCTTTGTGGTGACTCAAGGAAGAAATATATATAGAATAATTTGAAGGGTTAAAAAGTTAAAGATAAGACAAATCTGAGATAAAAGCTAAAGATAATTTTATGATATTTTTATGATCTAGCAGGCATAAAGACAATCGTATAAAATGTTTGATTTTTTTTTATGACAGATCATAGGTATGATATGACTTTTTTATTATTATATCTATATGAGATATTTTATAATGATATTTTTATTATTCTCTTATTGTATGTAGATGATACATTAATTATTAGTCATAATGCTAAGAAAATTATAAATCTAAAAATGAGAGTTGAGCAAAGCTTTTGCTATAAAAAACTTAGGTTCGGCTAAGCATATTCTTGGTATAGGGATTAGAAGAATGGTAAACCTCGATTATCTCAAGAGAGATAAATCAAAAAGATTTTTAACAAATTTAGAATGAGCAAATCATTTCAAGTTGTTGAGTTTGAAATAATATCTTAGAAGTGAGAAAGATAAAAAAAGGATATATAAACAGAGTACCTTATGTATACCTCAACAATTGATGGTTTAAAGCATGTCATGGTAGCACAAGGCTAGATATTGATTACATAGTTGATGTGATTAGTTCATTTCTTTCCAATCTTGTAAATGAAAACTAGAAACAATTAAGTAGACTTTTAGGTATCTTAGAGGAATTTCTATATTATGTTTATGCTTTGGGATAAAAAAACCCATGTTGATTAGCTACATAAATGCAAATATGGTCGGCAATATTGATTTTAGAAAATATATCTGTAGTTCCTTGATATAATTTTCAAGATAAACATTATCATAACAGTGAAAACTATAAAAATGTATTGCTTTATCTTCTACTGAAGTTAAATATATAGCTACAACAAAAGCTTGTAAAGAACTCTCATGAATGAAAAAGTACCTATAAGAGTTGAGACTTAAGTCAAAAAAATTTATTTTACATTATGATAGTCAAAGCACTATTTTTTTCAATAAATTCTAATTTTTCATTCCAAATCCAATTATATTGATATTGGGGATCGTTAAATTTAAGATATATTCGAGATGAAGTTATTGCATATTGAGATAATCAATACCGATAAGAATATATCATGACTAAATCATTGTCTTTTTAAATTTTTTTTTGCTTTTAGAAAGATAGTAAGGATAGAAGCTCTCCCCACATGGGTGTGATGGAAAAATCTATTGGGTGATCCTACCCATGACTTAAGTGGTCGGACCCATAAGGGTTAAATAGAAAATTCTAACCCTAATCTTATATAAGTTAGATGAGAAAAACCTAAAATAGTGACCATCATATTCAGGGAAAGAGAATTTGATCTAAGAAGAAGAAAGATTGGTTTATGAAATTGATTTCAATTGTCATGATTTTTTTTGGTATACTAGTCTAAAACTCTCATATGGTTTGCTTAGGATTCTTTTTCTTTTCAGGTTGAAGAATTTTTTCATATAAATTTTATCTCATGATTTGCTTAGTTTGTTTATCACTACGGCAGATTTAAGACTTCATATCTAATAATTTTCAAATAAAAAGTTTAGTAAAAACAAAAACGATCGTGCTCATGAGTTTCCTGCGCTCACCCCTATGGATAGCAAACATGAACAACATAAATATTAAATGCAGGTGGAATTTGGATGTCGTCTAAGTACGTGAGATCGATTAAGATTGAAGGATATCACCTACCGAACCAAATGAAGAAGAACCGATGTGGATTTTGAACTTATAACTTGTTCTAAGGTGCACAACGCAAGCCAATCAAGACAAAAAGTGCATCTGCAACATGTTCTTGTTCCGCTTAAACCAAGCAGCAAGGCAAACGCCAACATGCAGACAGAGTGACATGGTAGACGCACAATTGGTTCTTAAGCCTGCAGACTCATCACGGAGAGGCAGAAACCACATGCGCTTAGATGATCTGGGGAGGCTCCTGCTGCATCTGCACCACCCTCTTCCACGACGGCCGGCTCGAGATCGCCTCCCACAACCTCTACAGCTTCTGCTTCCACGTGAAGAGGGGGCGGCGTTCGGGAAGTCGTCTCTGGCCCCTGCGGTTGTCGACGCGAATGAGCTGGAACACGATCTCCTTTGAAGAGGCAGGGCAACGCTCCCGCCACCTCTGCAGCTCTGCTGTAGTAGGAGAGCCAAAGACCTTCACAGTGGCCATGTTAAGCAGGTTGGGATTCTCTTGCACTCGCTGGTGATGTCGGTTCTTAGCGCATGAAGGAGATACAAACAAAAAAGAAGGACAGGGAAGAGATTACAACCTTGCTTCGCAAGAAGGAAATTAAAAGCAAAAGATTTAAAGAAAAAGAGAAAGGAAAAAGGAGAAAGGAGAAAGGTTGGACGCACTCTTGGGCTACACGAAACGATTCAGGAAGAAGCATCGGGTCCATTGCGAAGGAATCAGACGGCAACCGATGCATGCTTTTCTTGCTCTGGTTTGATCTTTCGCCATGAAGAGATGCAAGAGTGTGCAACTGTCGAAGGTTCGTGTCTCATTACTCTGCCACTGACACTGAAGGTGTTCCTGCTAAAGAAAAAGGAGAGCACAGGAACAGCGTAATCGTTGGACTTGTCCTTCGTTCGACTGTTACAACGCTTTCTATGCAACTCTTACCGTGGAACTAAAACCGAGGCTTTCTTCACTATAAATGTGGATTATAGACGCAGATGCTGTTCTTGAGACGTCTCCGGGTAAAATGAAAGGTGGTTTATGTGTCATGTTTTGCATGCAAGTTAGCAGTCTGGCAATATCCGTGGAGGCTGTGTTCCAAAACCTTCAATGTTGTCATATTCTATCTGAAATGCTGCATGCTATCGTTCAATGTTAAGAAGGATGCAGAGAATTCATGCAAAATTTTCCAACATATGCTTTATTAAGAAGGAAATGCAACAAACACAATTAGGAACTCTAAAGGAAATCCCAGTCTGAGTAGTAGTATAGAATAGAACAATGCTCATAGCACTAAGAACAAGAGTATCCTTTGTTATATTGAGCCATGATCGAAGCTCTTATTAGTTTCATACGTGATCGAGCTCAAATCTGAAAACAGTGATCAAAATGAAGGTGGGGCGCGCTGCATTTCGACGACCTTCTTCCATGACGGCCGCATGGAGATCTCCTCCCACCACCTGGCCACATTCTTCCTCGACGTGAAGAGCTCAACCTTCCCGCCGGCCCTAACGTAATGGCCATTAGGGAGGTGGGAGAGGTCGGCGAGAGAGAACATGTCCCCGGCGAGGAACCTGCTCTCCTCGAGCCGGCGCTCGTAGACGTCGAGTACCTTGGCCAGCTTGCCCTCGTTCAGCAGGATTGCGGCCGCGTCCTGCGGCAGCCCCATCTGGGGGGCAAAGGCCAACTGGAACACCAACGTGGAGCTGGGCGGGCTGAAGCTCTGGCCCTCGGCCTCCAGCCACTGCTCCACGTGCGCCCGCTCCACCAGCCCGCCGCCTCTGCGCCCGAGGAGGCTCCGGTTGCCCCGGTCAGCGTACTTGTCGCAGATGTAGCGGCAGATCGCCCTCGACTCTTCACGCTCGCATCAAAATGCATTGGGAAAGGTTCTAAACCAGAGCATATGGTAATGAAATCGAAAGAGGAAGAAATCGATACTGACCGAACAGGGTGGTGTGCTCGTCCTGGAAGGCGGGGACTTGGCCGAACGGCTGCCAAGGATCAGATACACCAAATTTAAGAGGAGGAGAGAGACGGTGGCGAAGAAGAGGAGAAGGGGGGGGGCGAGGCGACCTGTATCTTGAGGAAGTCGGGGGACTTGTGCTGGGCTTTGGACATGTCGATGTTGACGAGGTTGAAGACGACGTCCTTCTCGAGGAGGCAGGCTACGACTCTGGAGACGGCGGGGGAGATGGGAGGGCCGTACACCGTCACGCTTCCCATTTCTTGTGTTCCCGTCGACCAAGCGATCGGAGAGCGAGACGGGGAAGGGAAAGGAAGGGTTCGTTGTCGACGGGAGACTGCTCGATAGCCGCTTAGCGTCGCCAACATTCGATTCTGCAGTTGCGTGCGTGGATTAATGGCTAATTGACACACCTTAATTTAGGGGATTCTAAAAGGGCAGTTTTGCAATAAATAAATAATTATGTTTTATATGTAAAAAAAAAATTGACTTCCTAAATTACAATCAATACGAAGTCTATGCGGAGTTTGAGAATGATCAATACAGTCTTCCTTTAAGATATTATTTTAATGATTCAAACGATGATTTCTCAAATCTCAAATGAATAATTTTATCATTGCAATAAAAATATAAAATTAAAATTAAAATTAAAATTAAAAACGAATTTTCTCTCTAAAAATTATGTTTTGATTTTGTTTTTCTGATAGCTTAAATATCATGAATGATAAAAGATACACCTAATTGGTCGAAATAGTCTTTGGACTGATAAGTTCATGAGAAAAAAAAAAGAAGCTTATATTATTTTGATTTCATTACCTATAATAGGGTAACTTAATCCAAAATCATTGTAACTATGATATGAGATCCAAAGTTTCTAGTATTCTGAGAATAGTTCTTGCTCACTTTCAAGTGAAATATGTAATGAAAATCTTGAAAATGTACTAGAAATATTAAAATAAAATATTGATGCCATCTACCAAATAAATAATTAGAATAAATTGTCCAAATGTCATGATGATTTGAAATTCTCATATTTCAAATAAGATGTCATGCAAATGTCAATATTTTAATATTTTTATTTGATTATTAAAAATAATATAACAACTTTTGAAACAATAATGTATGAGTAATATAGAAAATAATATATTTTATAATTATTAATATATTTATATTTAAAATATGGATTGATGTACTAAATTCACTTTTTCAATAAGGTATAGTTCCCTTCTTGCTCATCAGTAGTACATGTATTCTTGTTTACTAAATAAGTATAATATCTGTTGCTTTGGACAGGATATAGAACCAATCATGAAGAGTTCATAGAAATGATGAGACCAGGCTACACTTGACACTAGAGAAAAGCAAAGCATAGAAAATAATTATCTATAAAGCATACAAAACCCGATAAAGATTTAATTTCAGATTATTGTGCAGTCGATCACAAAAAAATGAATACAAATGGGTGTAACATATGAGAGGGATGTTCTAGACATATCAACCAATGTCTCATCGTCTCATGAACATGAACCTACATGCGATAATCATAATACTATCAAAAGAATATTTATCAAATATGTTTGATTATTTTGTATGGAATCTTTTGTCAAACTCAAGTCCGACAATATTTCCCACATGATTAAATTGTTTTAAGTTGATCAACAAACATCTGTAATCATCTGCAGTTGAAACTTTAGAGGATGCTGCAACTGAGCCTTATGATTGGTTTTCTTGATGGAAAACTGTATTCGAAGAGCAGGGAAACGTTAAAAGAGCGAGAAAGCTGAGGGAGGTGCAAAGAAGGCTGGAATTGTGTTCCTGTTTCTCGCGTTTAAGGTGAGCGGCATCATCATTCGCAGACAGCATGCGATGCTGTGAGCATCGGTATGTGTCACACCACGCCATTGCAAAGAGCTGCAACGCGTGGAAGCATTGATGTGTCCCATCACGTCACATGCTCGAGAAAGATCCATCAGTCATAATGAGGGCATGTTGGAAGCCAGCGGAGGCCGGGTCTTCTTTTTTATTCCTTTGAAATCGCGAGGACGAGTGCTGTCACATCATTATCTACTTGATTTGTTTTCTTAGAAGAAGTTTGCATGATCTGATTATAACACTCTCAGCATAATATTCGATGATCAACTTTTTAAGTTTGGAAGATCTAAAAGAGCATAATGGTCGTCATCGTGAGAAAGAAGAGCACATCAGAGGACTCTGGACTGGTGTGGGCAGGTAGCAAAGGCTGACAAACGGCCATGTGAACCTTGGGCAAAGCACCGCAATGACAGCCAACCTGCAAGGACAGGCTCCACTAGTCTTGACGTTATCGGAACATATGGTAACATCTCGACATCTTTTACAGCAAGGCAGAGCAAGACAATAAGCTGGCCTTATTCGATTCACCGTGCCCAATGTTTCTCCTCTCTTCCACCTGTTCCTTTTTCTTCGTCAAAGCTGCAGGCCAAGTGCAGCTGCTACCCTCGGGCTTCACAGAGCTGCTGCTGCAGGGCCAACACAAAACCTCCACACAATCACACAGCTTTCGCAGTTCTTCTTTATGGGTTTTTGGGGGGGGGGGGGGGGGGGCTGAGGGGTATGAGCCTTTCGGTTTTCTCAATGCAAAAGACCTCTGCTACTACTTTGTTTTTATCTTCCGTCGCACAAAGAAGGTGAAGAGGGATTCTTTAGAACAAAAAGCTAGCAATGGGTAAAGTTAGAAGGGGAGATAAAAAAAAAAGGAAAAGGTGTGGTGGAGGCTAAGTGGAGGACAACTCAAAAGAAAAGGAGAATGTTAGGTTGGGTGGAGAATGTTAGGGTGATTAATTACTCGAATGATAAAACCACTCGAGGGCAAATTAAAGATGTATACGATCACTGAGTAAAGGAGCAACAGTGGCTAGAATCAATCAGACAATCACACATCCTCCATACATTACAACACATGAGAAGGAAGAGAAGTGAGTAGAAACAACGCAAAATACAAGAAAGAAATCAGAACCAGTCCTCACTCTCTCCAAGACCTCACATACAAATCATCATACACACAGATGCATGGAAACAGAGGAGAAAGAGCCAGCCTTCTCTGCTGCTGCTGCTCCTCCCTGCCCTCCTCAGTTGGTGGGGTTGCTCCGGAAGGATCCCAGGGCCTTGATAGCCGCTGCCCTCAGGATGTACTGGTGGTACGCCGCCGCGGCCAACGCTCCTACGAACGGACCCACCCAGAAGATCCACTGCACGCACCACCCAATAAAAGTCATTCCACGTCCAAATATACCATAACCATGGAAGGATAGGGGTAGTAAATAAGCTCACATGATCATCCCACGGCTTGTCCTGGTTGTAGATCACTGCAGCACCTAAGCTCCGAGCGGGGTTGATGCCGGTACCGGTGATGGGGATGGTGGCGAGGTGCACCATGAACACAGCAAAGCCGATGGGGAGTGGTGCCAACACCTGCAAGCAATACAAGTCGAAAACTCCTTTCAAGAACAGCACGAAGACTAGAAACTAAGTGGAGATACGACTCTGCAGCTTTCAATTACGTACGGGAACGTGGGAGTCGCGGGCGCTGCGCTTGGGGTCGGTGGCGGAAAAGACGGTGTAGACGAGGACGAAGGTGCCGATGATCTCGGCTCCAAGGGCGGTGCCCTTGGAGTAGCCGGATGCGACCTCGTTGGCTCCACCACCGAGAGAGTTGTACTGGTGCTTCATGATGCCCTTCACGATCCCTACACCAACGATGGCTCCCAAGCACTGCGCCACTATGTACAGCAGCGCCCGTATCAGCGACACCTTCCTCGCCAGGAACAGCCCGAAGGTCACCGCCGGGTTGATGTGTCCCCCTAAAAACACCAGGAAACGCAGGAATTAGGACGGAACTGTAAAAGTTGAGCTTTCAGGTCAAAGCTGGAGAGGTGGATGAAGGAGGAACCAGAGATGCCGGCCGTGCAGTAGACGAGGATGAAGATCATGCCACCAAAGGCCCACGCAATGCCAAGAATGCCAACCCCGCTGCACTGGTCGGCGGCGTTCTGCTCCTTGTGGCCGATGACGGTGGCGATGGTGACGTAGAGGAAGAGCAGCGTGGCCACGAACTCAGCTATGAGGGCGCGGTAAAAGGACCAGAGACGGAGCTCGCCGAAATCCAAAAGCGGCGCCGGCGGCGGGTCCCTGTAGTCCTTTGCCGGCGCCTGCTCGGCCTCACTGACCTCCTTCGACATGACGACCCGCCTTTCTCTTGCTCACAACTCTCGCTCTTTGCTTCGGAGCACTGCTACTCGTTGGCTCCGTGGTCTCAGATGGAAGGCGAGGGTGAGGGGGGTTTAAAGGAAAAGAACAGGCTCTACCCTGTGGCTCACCTAAATAATAATAATAATAATAATAAAAGAAAGCGACGTATGTATTGCAATCCCGCGAATACTCAGGGAAGCAGGTATCACAGCATTGAGTATGTAGCAAGAGAAGCTTCACGTGAACGGCAGTTTTAGCTCCGGTTTCCAACCCGATATAGCTGTTGGATTGTGTGTCATGGTGGTTGTCGTCATTAAAGGGGTTGGCGGTGAGGGTGGGTCCCCGTGACAGCGAGACCATGTGAGCTCTCGTGTCTCAGCTCGTTTCTGAGCGAAGCAGTATATGAAACTGGATTCGCTGAGAGAGAGAGAGAGAGGGGTTAGCCTGTCATCGATTGGCTCTTCCGACCTTTACAACCCAACAGTGTGCAGCTTTTGGATTTAATTATCGTCAACAGACAGAAGAAAAAAAAGAAAAAGAAGTCTTTTTTTTAATTAACGGACACATCGAGCCCCGAGTCGAAGCGATCCCAAATAAAGCAAGGATCGACTTCAAGCGGGACTGCGCCAAACAAAGGGCCGCTCGGTTCAACACCGACAGGAGTCGGTAAGTGTGTGGTGCAAATGGTGCCTGGTGGTAAGGCGCGCGTGGGGCCCGGATTGGCCCTTTGATTAGGGATTGACGTGAACTCGATTCCTGCCGAGAACAGCCAACACCACACTGGTCCAATGGGGACATCGCCACGCCCTACGCGCGTCGCGCTTCTGTTCGCCGAAGGCGTCCGGTCGTTTCCGGATCGTCTGCTTCTTCTTTTACCGTGAAGAAAAGGACGGCAGTCGTCTGTGAGTCAGCTGCGCCTCCCCGGACAGCAAACATTCTAAAGGCCAGACAAACCTGAGCCAGTAAAGTGGGGCCCAACGTAAACTTTATGACTCATGTCCATTGGGTGATTAACACGCGAGGCCAGTCACAAAGCCGCGCACCATTTCCCCAAGCAGACGACGAATCGAACTACGCGCCGCCCGTTGCCCTCTGCCAACGTCACCGACTGTTTGCCCTCAATCACGGAACTCTTTTAATTGCCAACGCCAGAATGCC